AGAAAGAATCATAGACATATGCCATATAAGATAGATATAGCATCCATATCATAGGGCAAGTCAATAAGTTCTTAGAAAATCTGTCAGAGGGGACTCGCAATGTCATGTCACATTACTTTTTAATCAGTAGCATCTCTTAGCTGATAACTGTCAAATTTTGAGCGGAATTCATCGCGTGGTTTCATTCCTGTAGACGATTAAAGCGAACAATTTTTGCAAAATGGAAAAAAACGAGTTTCGTGCAATGATCAAACATCTACATATGAAAGGTTTAAGACTGAAAGAAATCAAAGCCGAGTTGGATAATATTCATCTGCATCAGCGTTTGTGACTGTATACAATTGGGTGAATGAATTTAAACATGATCGTATATCCATATGTGATGCACCTCGTTCGGAACGTCCAATTGAGGCTGCTATGTCAGAAATCATCGGTAAAATCTTCGATATTGTTTTGACTGATCGATTCGACGAGTTAAGCGCGAGCTTGTTGAGGCCACAGGCATATCACAGTGATTTCAATTTTGCACGAATAATTGGGTATGAAAAAGCTATCGGTAAAATGGGTGCCGCGTTTGCTCACTGTGGATTATAAGCGCGACCGTGTGACGATTTCAAAATGTTGGAGACAAAATGTTTCAACGTAATCCAGATGAATTTTTGCATCGATTCATTACTATGGACGAAACATGGATCCATCACTTCACACCCAAGACAAAGGAACAATCAAAACAAAGGACTTCACTGGATGAACCAGCTCCGAAGAAGACCGTAAAGTTAGCCAGAAAGATGATGGCCACAGTTTTTGAGATACATGCGGTATAATTCATAGCGATTACTTTCCGTCGAAACAAACGATCAATGGCGATTACTACGCAACCTTATTGGACCACTTCAACAACATTTTAAAGAAAAAACATCCTCATTTGGCAAAGAAGAAAGTGCTCTTCCATCAAGACAATGCACGGGCTCACACGTGCCCAGCACCGATGGCCAAATTCAACGAATTCCGCTACGAATTACTTCCCAGCATATTCGCCAGATTTAATCTTCTACGACTATTTCCTGTTTCCAAATCTGAAGAAATGATTCGGAGGAAAGAGAGTCACCACTAGAGAGCAGCTCATCGCCGAAACAGAGGCTTATTTTGAAGGGTTGGACAAATATTATTCGGATGGCTTGAAAAAGTTGAAGAATCGTTGGATCAAATGTATCGAGCTGAAAGGAAACTATGTTGAGAAATAAAAATGAATCGATCAAAAAAAATGTTTTACTTTATTTTTCTAAAAACTTATTGACTTGTCCTCATAATTACATAATAACTACATAATAGCGACAGTAGCTGTTAGCTTCTTTGATTCGGTGATCACTGATCACATGACTGTCACCCTGCCGCA